TTATGGGGGGATGGGCTTTTTTTTTTTAAATTTCAGGCATAATTAAGCGCAATCATGAATAATCAACCACAAGTTATAACTATTAATGAAGCTATTCACTACACAATATAATATGTACAACAATAGGAACAAAGACAAACACAAATAAGTGATTAATCAAGATATAAATAACAACACATAAAAATCAAAACTAAAACACTTATAATCTTATACAATCCAACAAGTGAAATCTCATATGATAACTATGGAGCTATGGTGTAGGAGTCATTGAAGCAGATGAATAATTCAGTTCATATTGGCAAATTACTAATAACTTCTTCAACTTCATAGTTAATTCACCTGATCTCTACACACCAATAATCAAATAATATAAAAGAATTAACTACTATAATTATGTGCACAAATGAAGTATTATAAGTTAATATTAAAGTCATTAACACAGAAAATCCTCCACTTTATTAAAACATTTAGTTTCAACATGCCTTGAAAGCAATTGAATAGTTCAATTTAAAACTATTTTTTATTGAAATAAAACGACATAATCTTTAAGAAACACAAGCAGTATTGATCTCCTTTATTAATAATTTATATGCTACGTTAGCAACACTGAAGCCATAAAGCCTTTTGAGTCCATACATGAACTATACCTTCAGCACATAATTTTACAGTTCTGTTCCAAATGACAACAGCTTCACTCGACAGATGATGAGAGATTATAACTTCGAACTGGCCTGATTAACTGGAGCACTCTGAATCAAGTTATAAAAAAATTGACATTAAAAACCATTGGAAATTTATATACATATCACACAATTTTTATTTATTTACATATCTAAAATCCAAAATTTGATATTTACATTTATAACACCTTGGTATTATAGACATATGCATGAAAAAAAGCATTTTACTTTTAAAAAGATCATATTGATGGTATTTTTTATGAGAAGTTAAAGATTCGAGTGTTATGCATGTAAATATGAATGTTTAGGTGTTAGACATGTAAATTCATAAAAGTTAAGTGGGTTCATATCAATGTTCTATAGTAAATAAAATTTATCTACTGCTTACCAGAGGAATTCCTTTCGCTCCCCTTTCAGCAAGATAGGAACTTGGCTTGAAAAAATTTCCATAGGTCTTGGACCATTCTTCCAGCCTTGTGTTTATGTATTTGGCACCCAGAGAGTCAGCCCAAAACATAATGCCACCCCTAAAGTAGGATGTAAGAGCACAAAAGCTTTATTTAGAAGAAGAAACAATGTAAAATTTAATTAAAAAGTTGAGAATTCCGAAAATTTGACAACCTGAAGGAAGGGAAGCCCATTCCCATAATGGAAGCGATGTCCAGATCTGATGCTTTCACTGCAATTCCTTCATCGAGGACACAGCAAGCTTCGTTGACTACTGGAAGGAATATCATCTCCACTATGTCCTTGTCGGATAACTTCGTAAGCTGAGGACAGCACAGTAAGTCATGATGCATAATTGAGACATGGACAGCATGAAATTAATCGTGATTGGTGGATATCATGATGATGATGATGATTTAGAATGGATTTTTGTAAAGTTTAATAGTATAGGTGGAATTTGGTAACCTGGGGATCAGCCTTAACACCAGCTATTTGTCTTGATCTCTCTATATAGCTGTGTATATCGGGGTCAGGAGTAGCCTTTCGCCTGTCGTCATACAAATAGAACCCCTTGCGAGAACTTTCACCTGCCATAGATCAAGGATCAAACATGATGTAGTATTGCCCACCTTGAATTTTAAATTTTCTCTTAACGAGTTACAAATTAATTTATTATCAATAAATAAATAATTTATTACCCCCTAGACCCACACCAAAAAAAGGCCAATATTTAAAAAAAATTTATAACATTTCGAAAGAAACATTAGATATAAGAAATTTATATACCCTTAAAGAAAAGACTACTACGCCCCTAGACGTACCATTGCCACACTAAGCCCTACTACTTGCATAGAATCACTATGAAATAATCCATAT